GCTCTCCACCAACAACAATCTTCTATACAGAAGCATGAGGCCGCTTTATTAGAACTAGGTAACCGACAAGCTGAAACAAACAGTCGCCTAGCTGAGCTAACCGATTTTCTCCACTCACATTTTCCACAGACGCCCGATCCTGCTGGAGGCCCCTCCCAGTCTTCATCTCCAGATCCAGCTCCTCCAGGCCAACCCGCACTTCCTGACTGTCCGTTGCCCAATCCACCCAGGTATGATGGAGATCCTAAGAGGTGCAGAGGTTTCTTAATGCAATGTACCCTTCAGTTCAATCACTCTCCCCATAGATTCATTCACGACTCTGCTAAGATTTCATACGTTATTGCACACTTATCAGACCGTGCTCTGGATTGGGCAGAGGTTAAATTCTCGTCATCCCCTGACTACAATTGCACTTTTTCAGAGTTTATTACTGAATTCAAACAAACATTCAATCAGGAAACAGACAAGGCTCTCAGTTCCCGAGACTTGCTAAAGGTGAGACAAGGTCAACGGTCAGTAGCGGATTTTTCGATTGATTTTCGCATCCAAGCGGCTGCCTCTGGATGGAACAGTATCGCACTCAAAAGTGCGTACCTAAATGCTTTAAACGACCCCATTAAGGACGAACTAGCAACATTAGATGAACCCGAATCTCTGGAGGACTTGATAAAATTGTCCATACGGTTAGATAATAGGATTCGAGCCCGAACTAAGGAAAGAGGTAGTAGAAATCCTCCACCCAGACCTCTTCCTGTGGTTAGCCGCCCCATCCCGGCTGAGCCCTCCTCGAGTTTATCCAGCCCTGAACCCATGCTGGACACACAAAATTGTCTCAGGAAGAGAGGCAGCGCAGAATGCGCTCGAAATTGTGCCTCTACTGTGGCGAAGCTGGTCATTTCATCTCCCTCTGTCCTCTGCTGTTAAAAGCCAATGTCCGCCAGTAAGAGCGAGGGAACTGGCGGACTATCAAAACACCATAAGTTCACCTCGTCTACTGTTACCAGCTTCTCTACTAGTAAATAACAAATCCATCCCAGTTTCTGCCTTGCTAGACTCCGGATGTGAACGTAATCTGTTGGACTCATTTTTCGTGCAGCAGATGGGAATTAAGACTGTCCCTCTATCTGCTCCCCTTCGTGTTTTAGCCCTTGATGGTAAGAGGCTGCCACAGATTACTCACCAAACCCAACCCATCTCACTAACAGTTTCAGGCAGCCATAATGAGTGTATTTCATTTTATGTTTTTCCCACTGCAAGTACCCCGTTGATTTTGGGTTTCGAATGGTTGCAGCAGCACAACCCCAATATTAATTGGGTTAGTCGACACGTTGACTCATGGTCGTTAACTTGCCATTCATCTTGTCTCCGTTCTGCCGTCCCGCCAGGTCCACCTCCAACAGATCATGCTGAAGCTGATCTACCAGATCTCTCTTCTGTTCCTGCTGAATATCACGACTTGGCTCAAGTATTCAGTAAAACTAAAGCCTTGTCCCTGCCTCCTCACAGACCATATGACTGTGCTATAGATCTGCTACCCGGGGCTCCTTTGCCCAATAGTCGACTTTACAA